TGATTTTTTTCCTGGCCCTCTGGTAGCCCCAGGAAGTCAGCAGGTAGGTGACCAGTTTCTTCATACCATCTTTTAGGATATTTCAAAAAGTCATACGGTAACAGCCTGTCTGGATCACTTATACCAACCCTTTAAATGAAGTTTTTAGATAACAATGTGTTTAGTAGAAAGTTGACAAATCTTAAGTATTCGCTTAGATGCTCTATCGTTGTACGACTTCTGCGTTGTGTTCTGATAACAGAGTAGATAGAAGATTTCTTTCTCTACCTCTGCCGTGCTAGTCGAAATGGAAACTAGCTTTGCTAGTAGGTCCATCAGATTTTTGCGGTAAGTAATGGGAAAAGAGCCAGATCTCATATGCTTTCGCAACACGGGAAGGAAATAGTGCATACTTTTTGGGCCTTGTCGAACTCTGGCTTCACCTCCTCTGGCATACGTCCTGTTAGCTGATCAGAAAGCTGCTCAACTTCTTCTTTAACAGCATCTGTGGAATAGCCGAAAAAAGGAGGTATAGGGCATGCGAAAAATCGTGACGATGACGCGACCGCGCGCAACACGCACGCACTCCCAATTCTTGGTTTTTATATCTTATCAAATAGTTTTTCTGCTTACATATAATAGTAGACAGGAACTGGAAGTGACTGAGCTTAGCGTTGAGGTGTTGCCTGCTTGTATGAGTGTATTATCCTTCTGTGTGCGGAAAGACCGCAGTCAACTCGTCGTCACGATTTTAAAAATGAAGCATACTATGCTGCGCGTTGGTTTTTTTTCAATATCATAGGTCATATTGTCACAAGGCGAATAACTTTCAAAAGCATAAAGCACAGAGTTGGGTTCGCACTCCAGCCGGGATCTAAGTGCAGTAACTATGCTTTGTACTAACACCTTCCTTTTGTTCATATCCATGTTTGTGAATTTAGCAGCCTTGAATTCTTCAGCAACCTGAAGATCAGCAATGGACTTCCTGGACATTTCCTCATTGAAACTAGACAATCTGCCTGGATTCCTTATGCAGGAAATCAGAGAGTTTCGCTCAATTGCCAACTCTGTATCAATGGCAACAACATTTTCGTCGGCGTAAGATTCTCCTTCTGCCTCGCTGTTGAACTGGAACACATGCGAGTCATCTGCGATTTTGTAAAGTCTTCTGCCTGCCGTTTCCTCTTCAAACTGCCAACCTTTCCAAAACATTGAGGGATATTTTAATAACATGTTATTCTTCTGAATGTCTTAGAGTTTTTGATTCATTGAAACCAACCATTCTCTACAAATTAGTTAAGGTGAGTCTAGAGCGTTTTCACAAAAGTGACCTTGTTCAGCACTTGGTTTACAGAGTATAGATTCCAGAAATGGGCGGGTTTTTGTGTGAAGTTGTGGAAATTCACCAATCTCCCATAGTTTTTTGAGTGTGTGCTAATAATGATGGCATAACTGTCAATCAAAAGCGCATTTTTTACCAAAAAAAAACATAAACATATAACAACGATAAGCACGCTCAAATAGATGCGTTCGCTCACGTTCTCGTTAATGCTGATAACGATGTCAATCCACAGCACATTTTTTACTATTAACTTGCTCCACCTCGCTCTTATTAGGTCGTCCAGAAAGTTTTTGCACATGAATTTCAAAATTCATAACTTCTGATTTTTCCAACCGATTTGACTGCTTTCACTTCCATGTGAAAGGGTAAGTCATGCTCTTTATAATGACATCTCAGCTGCTTAGTAATAGTCATCTGTTGCATAGATAGGAGCGATAGAAAAAAAATGGTAAAAATTTTAATTTTCTGTGTAGTTTCATAAAAAATCGGAGACTTGCAACAAAAATCGGAGCAGTCAGTACTGTAGGTTCTTTCACCAGCTCTTTCTAGCAGTGCAAAGTTTGCGCCGATTGAGCGTCTCCATGAAAAGTTATGATTTCCCTGAAAAATGCCAAAATAAATCAATTCGCCTTTTTGTACTGCTTGCTCGGAAATTATAACTTTTCATGGAGACGCTCAATCGGAGCAAACTTTGCACTGTTAGAAAGAGCTGGTGAAAGAACCTACAATACCGACTGATCCGATTTTGTTGCAAGTTTCTGATTTTTTATGACCCTACACAAAAATTCAAATTTTGAGTGATTTTGTTTTGAGCTTCTATCCATGCAACAGATGACCATTACTAAGCAGCTGGGATGTCATTATAAAGAGCATGACTTACCCTTTCACATAAAAGTGAAAGCAGTCAAATCGGTTGAAAAAATCAAAAGTTATGAATTTTTGAAAATCGTGCGCAAAAACTTTCGGGACGACCTATACAATGTGTTGGCTTTTATGGGTCACCGAAGCAAATGACTTTTAGAGCCGAGAAGCAAAGTAGCCCTAACATGCTGTACACCATTCGAAAGCTGAGGTTATGTGGAATCGACATAGACCGTCGACTTTTTTCTAGGTCTTCTCTGCCGCGAGATATGAGGGATTTCATGTGCTTCAAAAATTAACTGATTTTGTGTCCTCACTTTCTGCTCTCCAAATGAATGCTACGAGAAAGTCGACGGTCCACGTTTGTTAATGAAGACTTGCTTTTTAACACAAATAGATAATCAGCAGTGATTAGGTCTTCATTTGGCAGAAATCTGCTGTTGAAAATGACCATGTTTCCAAATAAAATGCGGCGTATCTCTCGGTAGAGGGGGGTAGAAAGAAGTCGACGGTCTAGGTCGAATCCCCTTTTCCTGAGCTTTCGAATGGTATATAGGTTGCTGGGCGAAAAAACTAACCAGTTTTCAAAAATGGGGTGGAGATATTTACTATTAGCTTGCTCCAACCCAGCTCCACCAATGTATTGGCTTTTATCGGTTACCGGAGCAAATGATTTTTAGAGCCAGGAAGCAAAGAAGCCCTAACATGCTGTATACCATTCGGAAGCTGAAATCATGGAGAATCGACGTAGACCGTCGAGTTTTTTCTAGGTCTTCTGGCCGCGAGATATGAGGGATTTCATGTGCTTCAAAAATTAACTGATTTTGTGTCCTCACTTTCTGCTCTCCAAAATGCTACGAGGATAAATAAATAATATAAATAAACATAAATACCGTTTCTTTAATAAATTTATGAGTGTACTTGTTGTTTGAGGTACTTAGCCTGCTTTTCGTAACGATTTTTATCATATTCTCAGAGTACAATACCAATCTCAGCCCAGGTGAAGGGGGTCATCGGGAGTTTGGCCTCAAAGTGAAGGGGATAAGATCCATCACTCCCCCTATCGCAACTATGCCTACCACCGAACCCAATCGCGGGCACAGTTCACTTCGTGGAATCGGAAGCGAGAAAAACGCACCGAAAGCTGGGAGACTAACGCCACGATCGCATGACCCGCCCAAAGAGGGATAAATCGACAATTTTAGGCTGCGTTCATACTGTTCCCTAACTTCCCGATCAGTATGAACGCAGCCTTAAATTATTTATAACACATCAAAACGAAGAGTCCCAGCGTGAGTCTGCGTCTTATCCTCAACTACAGATATCCGAATTCAAAATCAGAGGCTTTTGGAATCTTCCGACGTCTTCGACTCGCAAGCTGCATTTTCGGAATCTGCGTGAAAGATAAGCCCCGGTAAGCGAAAGAAATGATGTTCGAAATTTTGCCCGGACGCTACCTTTGAATCGGTCAGATGAATTATATGATAACTACTGCTCAGAAAATCGCCAGGGACAGGCGGGCACCGGAAAAATAGATTGCTGAGTCGCAGATTTTTTGGAAAGCAATCAGGACTTTTCGGAAGACCGCTTGCTGAGTTCTCGATTCCTCACAGATTCAGCAGTATATCTGCAAAAGATAAGAGCGAAAAAAAATTCAACAGGAGGTCTCTCAAAAATCCGCTTTCCAGAAAATCCGCGAGCGGGGTGCGAGAAATCAGCAATCTATTTTTCCGGTGCGCCTGCCCCCGGCGATTGTCTGAGTGGATCCAAAAGGAATAGCTTTCTCCCTTCTTTTCTTTTCTTTTTTTCTTCATCCTCTTCCTTCCTTCTTCCTGCACCGTCCCCTAATCGTTCCTGGAGTTCGCATGGCTCGCGGATCCCCCTTCGCATCAACGCCTCTTCCTCAATGCAGAATATACTTGAACCTTAAGTACTCTTCCCACATGACCGTAGGTAAATGATCGATAGTGATTGATAAGCTTTTTTTTCCTCAGCAGGCAGTGAACAACTTCATAAATCGATAAAAGTGCGCAGTGAATTGTTAAAAAGGAAACAGCCCAACGGTTCACTCAGAAATTTGTGTAAGTAACCTACATCCAATACATTTGCACACAGTTATATGTATAAGTAAGTATACATATTAGCTTGGGTCTTCGGGCCACCCCGAACAGGGATCGGCACGAGGTGGCTTTTCGAAAATGCAAAAAAATCGAAGTCCCCCTTGACTTTCGCATAATTTTACGAAGTGCCCGTTGAACCTAAACCCAAACGTGAAAGCTCAAAAAAATGAGAGTCGACTGGAAAAAAACGTTACTCAAGTTGTGTTTTTGGCCACAAAAACGATATCCCCTTTCTGTCCCAAAAAGGATATCCAGCTTGCTTATAAGCCACCTTCGAGACCTTACCCGAGCATGGGTTGTAGCGGCACGAGAATAGTGCACAACACCTATTTGATGCGAAACATGTAATAAACTTCCCTCCTCCTCGTTTTTCTTTTGCCTTTTTCAAACTTTCTTTCATTTTGCTTCCGCTCTCTACGTTGCAGCCGTCTGTTCTATGTTGACTGCTTAACTAAGCAAATCCGCAATATGATGCGATAATGATTGACCAGCTTTCATCTTTAAGATTTAAGTGGTTGCATCATATGATAAAACCGGATGTCGCTGCGAAAAGTAGTTTACAGTAAGCACTTGTGGCTTATTCATAAGAGATCACAATTGTGTCCGGTCACTACACTCAATAATAAATTGTGTAATGAACAACCTACAATCAAGTATTCTACAGATATAGATATAAAAATTACCTCTCAAACGAGCCCATGAATTTTTTGCTCTTCGCATTGGCGCTATTGGCTGTAGCTGCCGCATGTCCGCCCTGCTGCGAGCATCCCAGGTTTGTTTCAAATCTCAGTAAATTCGTTGGATAATATTAGTATCTAAGATGTCCCGACGAACATCCCTGCCCTTGTTCAATGTCGAGTAAGTGTTCTCAATTGAAATGCTCAACTACCAGAGGTAAACAATTATTTTGAATGTTTGCACCATAACTGAGACAATTTTCTGTCTCCTATTGGACTGGAAAAATAAGGGAAGCCGAACATCCAGGGCTCGGCACGAGTTGGCACCAAGGAAATTCCAAAACGAGTTCCTATTTGAGTTTGAAAATTTCGTATGAAGTCCCCTTTGACCTGTTTTGAAGACCCGTCATTATTTCTAGATTGTGTAAAAGTATGTAGCAGGGTTTTCATGCATGCTGATTTCATGGAACAACTTTTCACAGCTTTCTAAGCTTTTTGAGTGGTTGAATCATGACTTGAGAAGCAGAAACAGCAGATTTTTCTACTGCGAAGCAGACCGAGTAATTTTCAGATGGCTGTAAATCGCTGAAAAGAAAACATTATGAAATTGTTCTTTCTCTGCATGTAAACTTTTACAGTGTAGATACATTTATGTAAATAAGTATGAAAACTTATGTGAACATTGTCGGTGCCAGCTCAGCTGGCATCTAGCTGGCACGGTGCCAGCTAATTCAGAAAAAAGTTCAGCACAGCTTTCAATCACATAAGTTTGCATAAATTTTTGGGCCATAGTTTGGGTCCCCCAACTCACCAAATCTGGTGTCATACTATTGCGTTTTGGCTGGAAACAACGCGTTTGTTTGTTTGATAAACAGCATGCCGGTGGCATGCCGACGGCATTCTTGCGGCTATTCTCCGCCCGGACTTCGAAAAAAACGATATCCCCTTTACTTTCCGCCCTCAAAACGATATTCAGCTTGCCCGGTGCCAGCTGTGCCGAGCGCTGCGAACATCTGTAATCTTATATATAAAGCTGAATGTCTGTTTGTCTGTCTGTCTGTCTGTATGTCTGTATGTGTGTACGTATGTTCCGAATACAAAATTCCATTTCTGAACTGATCCGGACCAAACTTGGCACACATACACTTCGGGCATGCTGATCACCCCCACGGGGGTGATCAGCATGCTCGATTACCTCCCTGTGCCAACTCCCAGCCCCCTAGCTCAAGTTTTGCAAAAAATCGATAAAATATCGATATCGATCGATGACGAAAAGTAGCCTATGACACCCGCCGGGGTCCGAAGTGTATGTGTGCCAAGTTTGGTCCGGATCAGTTCAGAAATGGAATTTCGTATTCGGAGCATACGGCGGAGCCGGGTAAGCCAGCTAGTTGTTTATAATGCTAATCATCGAGTGTAAACCCAAGCACGGTTTTAGGGAAAGCTTTATATCACATTGGTCAAAAGACTACACAGACGACCAGTTTCATACAACGGATAACGTGCAAGCTTTTTGATGATCTCTCCTACAAAACATATACGACAAACCTTTCTTCGATTTGCCATTTCAGATCTCGTAAACTGCAAGAAAGTTACGAAGTTACAAAAATGACAATGGGTCATTTAGTCGAAAGAAATGGTAGTGCTTTCAAAATTTTGCGTGTATTTAGTAATTTGTTCAGGCCTATTATAATAGTCATTTTATAATTTTTGAAATTATACGGCAGGAAACTAACCAATCGCCACGAGGTCAACAACTTAGATTTTTTTTCCAAAAATTGTTGGGATTGTTTCAGGTGTTAATCGCGAATATGGCAGGTGCTGCGAAAGAAAACTGAGAAATTGATGTAAAGAGGCAATGTATTTTTTGAGACTATCGTATATCTTGAACAACATGCGAAAAACCTCAACATAAAAATTAGGCTATTAGAGAAAATATTGTTACGATATACTACCGTAACATTAATATGCAATATCGCTTACCATCTTGCTGGAGCTTCGCGTAAGTGGTGACTTCTAAAAAAAGGTTATCCAAGCTTCCCGTAGATGGCAAAGTTAGAACATCAGAAAACATACGATTCCTCGCATCGTATTGGCACAAAAGTGTCGAATGGATAACAAACTTTCAGAAAAGCCTGCACCTTCTCCACCTGAACCAAACTGTGGTAAACGCTGTAACGAAAAACCTTGTAGCGCTCACAAGTACGTGTTAATGTGACTAAGGTCAAAGGAGAATAGTTTTTTTGCCGTTCAACGTCTGCATTTCAGAGTTCACAAACTTGACAATTATGGAGGAAAAGTGAGTGATTGCAAACATACTTTTGCCTTTCGTTTTGAAGATTGACAAATGGTTGATGACATACAAGCAAAAGACCAAGTATCTTGCAAAAATCAGTGCAATGTACTGCAGCTCTTTCTGAAGCATATCAAACGGAAATATTCACAAGCATATGACCACAAGTTCAGGACTGGTTCCTGCCTTATGTGTCACCTTTACAACGTTTCTACAGCGAACGGTACCGTACACATCACTACCACACCGAGCCGGGACCAATTTCGAGCTTCCTCGCCGACACTTACCACATAGAACGTCGGTCACTTGAAGTTGAGTTTCTCAACAGATGATAGTATCATTCAGCCTCCCCGGGCAGAATGATCACTGTTCGTTCATACAACCAGCAAAAACACGAGATTCGTCGCCATTGCCCCTTCTTAGTTCCCCTTTATACTGCGATCAATACGAAGACAAGTGAGCAGCTATTTTTTCATGGCTCACATACAAAACGAATGCATCCCTTCCAGAATCTCAGAAAATAACCACCAATGTGGCGCAACTCAACAGACTTATGGAAAAGGGAGGATGGTACAAGTTGCAACAGATTGGTTACTGCGTCAAGGGAAAGAAGTGCAGAGCTACCAAAGGACTCGTGGAGCTTCATATAAAGCACATACTCTGTTGGTTGACGTTACATTCACTTTTTGCAAACTATAAAGTGCTTACTAAAAAATTTACTTTCAGCGGACATTCTCTACACATCGGACACGAACGAAATCGGTGTTGTGAATAATAGGAATGACTTTGGGGGTACAGCGACAAGCCCTCTATGTTACTTATGGCTGTGATCGCTATTTGTTGGAATGTTGGCATGCGCTGAGATAAAATGAAATGATAAATTGCTAGTCCAAATGGTAAACTCATCGGTACAAACAACTATGATATTAGGGTGAACGGTAGAAAATGGGGCACCTATGTAGATTTCTCAAGTAAGAGAAGTGATTGTACTTCCCAATTCTGGTAGGTATTAGAATATATTTTCTCTTTCAAACTACACCTATATAAGGCCATCAACATATCTAATAATTTCTTTACTTGTTCAAATGCAAAGTCAGTCACTTTGACAAGTTTTGAACTTCGAGCAGTATCTGCGCCGTGAAACAGGTGAGACCATTCAAAGTACCACTGCTGTAATGGGTGAAGGTACAGTCACCAAACCCACGATGGCTTGCTGGCCGCAACCGTTAAAGCCAGGAGATATGGACATTAGCAATTTCTGGAACGAAGATACGTGTTATTTACTTCATTGCAAGTGAACACATGTTATTTGGATACCATCTGATAGAGCTCTTTACGCTTTATCCATCCATATGTAGTTTATCTCAATTTTTATCTGCCTTCGAAAGATGTAGGTTGAAACATGATTTTTTTGGTTTCTGCTGCCCAAAAAATCGCGATTTTTCAAGTATTTTGCTTTTTTTATCCAGAAATTAAAAGGAACCCCATATGTTCAATATATTGTTCGGAAGAGCATGAAGAGCTCTTTCGAAAAATATGTCAATTGCTTTTTAACTTTACGATGTAGCAGCGCAATAATGAGAGATCATCAAACCCTGTTCGAGTTCTTCACGGCGCCACATGCAGGGTTGTAGAAGAGGGGCGTTAACGCGTTACCAAAATAATAGGCGAAGACCGCTCATGTAAGCCACCTTCTAGTAGCAACCTAGTTGCTGTTGGCCGAAACAAAAAATCTCAAAATGTAATAAAAATTAAGCTGTCCCATTTTTTTTGCCGTTCACCCTAATATTTTCTCGAACAATCGTATGTTATAATTTCCCACTATAGTAATCGATGCGACCTCCATGTCGAGCCCAACCACGCTCGAATCCACTTGTAATCATATTGTCTTGAAGTTTTATTTTAATTATTCCTTTGCGTAATGAACAATCAACTTTATGAAAGGTTTTTGCTAGTTGGAGAGTTAGTTTAGCACATTGCTATAGGCGAGTAGCTAGTATAGCTCCCTCCGGCCCCTATCCATACAGTCTCTCTCAATCCCAGTCAGGCCAAAATTGGCATCGCGTTTCCGTGTCGCAAGGGTTTGCGTCACGTCTACTCTACGGCCAGCTTGTCTGCTCTCTCCTTGAAGGCAGCGTCCCACCAGACTGGAGTTACCTGGCTCTGGTAGTAATGTAATAGTAGACCCCCTAACTGCGCGACGACAGAAGTTTGCAGCGCGAGAGGGGGTCTACGAAATAAACAAATCGCCCCTCAAGTGCACCGAATTTTACGGTAGGCTCGGGCGAGTTCGAGATGCATGCAAGGTAGGGACGCAGAGTCGTTGCGGGACCCTGCGCTCATAACTGTATGCGCTATACTGGGAGACGGTCAAGCGGCGCGATTTCTCCGCCTGTCACCATCTCAAAACTCCAGTTTAGTGCTATGCGAGTCTTCAAAAAGTACCAGATAAAGTGCATTAGCTTGCCATCAGTCTGTGGTCAGCACTTGCTGAGCTATACGCACTCTGGCCTTGCAAATCGGTATTGCTGTGTGAGCGGCGTCCGGGCCTACCGTGATTCGGGCCACTTTCGGAGCAAATTTCAGGCTTGGTAGACCCCCTCTTCCGCTCCGAACTTCAGTCTCACTCAAGGGGTCTATTTTAACGTTGCCACAAAAACCTGACACCCATCTTCTTGCCGGGACGCTGCCTTTTATCTCTTCGACCTCCTAGAGCGCGCGTATGCAATGCAATCCCATAGAGTTGCGAGCAAACCTAGCAGACACTTCGGCCTGATTCCAATTAAGACAGAGTGTACAAAACGGTGAAGATCGTCATCCCTTGTTTTTACATAGTATTTTCATTGTCTGCACCTCACTTCTACATGCCAATTTCCTCATACCATGCTTACGTAATCAGCATGCCAGTGCTTACGTAATCACCTACCCAGTCTACCAACTCCCTTCTCCCCAGCTCTTCCCAGCAGGATGTAAGTAAGCGTGCTGATTGCGAATACAATACCTATCTTCAGATTTATAAACAAGCTTACTTACCTCCTGTGCAAACTCCCAGCCCCTGCTCCGGATTTGCAAAAAAATCGGGGGGGGGGGGGGGGAATTTTCTGATCCACACATGTGAGTAGAGAGGCAATTCAACTTTTAAGAAAATGTGACGGACTGCAGAACGCGCGATCAGCGATTTGATAGTCGCGATCTCGTCACTCTAAATGAGAACCGCTGGCGACGGAATCCGGAATCGCGACGATGAAATTGATGTGGCCAGGGTATGGCCAGGGCTTAAAGGCACGGTCCACCCAAAATGGGATTGATGAGATTTTGATGCCAACAGTAGCGGGGCCCCCAGCTGTACGCCCAACTCGCGTTGCCAGAAGTTGTTTCCGAGGCAAGAAAATTGTTTCAAAAATTACTTTGGATGATGGATTCGCCACGCTGGCTCCTCCCCTTTAAGTAGGCGTGACGTTCGTCCCTCCCATTTCAGCGCACCTAACCAATCACCGTTCTGCACAACTCGCCCTGCGGGTTCTTCGAAACGGGATTTGTCGGGGTTTTCGCGGATTCCCGATTTGATATTCGGAATCATGACAATGAAAAGGCCCCGGAATGATAAAAATTCCAAAATTTCGGTACTCATCTTCAGGGGACGCTGGCTTCAAGCCCGACCCTATGAACAAGCAGGATTTTGCAGAAAGTTTAGCTGCATGGACCACAATGGACGATTTCGAGGGTCATAGAGGTCGTCTGCTTTGAATATCGATCAACTCTCTTTCAACTTCGTCGACCACGAGAAAGCACTCGACTTTGTCGAAGCCAATGCCATCTTGTCAGCGGTAGTCAGTTAAGGAAGGAGGAGACTCATTTTATGCGATATTGGCCCACTGCTACGAGTATAATGACGATGCAGCTATTCCAACACCTCCTGACCATCCCATTTGGAAAATAAGTCGACAAGGCGCCAAAATTTCGCCAAAGCGTTCAATGCCGCCTTGCATGGGTGATAAAATCATCGGACTGCGAGGAGACAGTATGCAATTGATGGAAGATTCCTCTCCTATTGTTTTGTGGACGACATCGGTTTTTCCGGAACACTATCAATTGAAGCGGCGACAATGCTGAGGAAGTCAGCGGAGTAGGGGAAAAGATTGGATTGCCAGGGGCGGACCGAGGGGGAATTTTGGGTTTAGGGCTTTAGCGAAAATTTTGGGAAGCATCCCAAAAATTTTCGCAGTGCGTGGCTAATGCCACGTCCCTTCATTCGATGTGACCGCCACTGCGGACTTCTATATTGGAACAACTCAGTCCAAGAATGCTCTTTGTGAACATGCTGGAATGCAGTTGGAAGGCACCTCCATTATAGAGATCGACGTTCACTAAGCGTGGAGGACGATTTGAGGGAAAAACACATTAGAAGAAGAGCAGCCTGGGTAGCCTTCGTCCTCTAAAGGAAGCCACTGATCAACTGACGGACTCGGAGCTTCACATCCTATTTGACTCAACTCCTCTCGCAGTGCTATGTTGCGCAACTGAGATCTGACCGACTAAAGCCATGTCGAAAGCCTACGAACCACTAATAGAGCGTTCAAGCGCAGTCTTTTGAAGATCAGCCGACAGAAGCAGCATCTTGCCGAACTTGGCAGTGTAGATATGAAAAGAATGTCCCATGTCGTGATCTAGCGGAAAGTCTCGAAAGCAAAAACTCAATAGCCGATTACGTCTTGACAAGAACGGACAGGTGGACATCAAGAACACCTTACCGAGGAAGGTCACCAACGAGATAGGCGGAGTGGTGAAACGGATGGGCCAGCTGAGAAATCAGTTGCATAAAGGATCCATCTATGCTGCAAAATCAAATGGAGCTGCAACAGAGCGTGACTGCGAGTGTTTGGAGAGTAAATGGCCTAAAGTACTACTTCCAATTCGAATTTCGACGCGCTTTTTGTTTTATTGTGTCTTCAGGCCTAGATACCCATTTCAGTGAAACCAGGGTTTCTTGTGGTTTTTCAGTTTTTTTATTAGATCGAAACACATCGATATACCTTTCCAAACCACTTGCCTTGGAACGCTTGTTACAAAGAAGAAAACATTACTCACAGAAAATTCGGTACATTTTTTTAGAAGCCCTTTTTCTAAGGTTTCCTACGTGTGCTTTTATGTTCGTAGAAGTAAGTTTTCGTTTTGAACTACCGCTTGAAATACAAGAGATTTACTTTCACGATTTTTTCGTCAACAAATCCACCACCGCAATTTTTATACTTTGTCTGTAAAACCTTCACAAGCGTGCAAAATTTTTGAAAATTAAATCAACGAAGATTAGAGAGCTGCGCTACAAATACATGTTGAAATAAGACTTCCATATTTTTTAAACCGAAAAAATTTCAATGCGCTGTAATTCAGCACATGAAAAAATTTTTGTTCGCAAGGTGAGGAATTTTTGTTATATTAGGCTGGTGCAAAAGTTCTTTCCGACCAAATTCAAAAATTCATAACTTATTGAATTCTCAACAAATCTGCAAGGTCTAAATTTTGCTTAAGATAGGAACTCATGCTCCTTGCAACAGTCCCTTGATTGTTTGTCAATGTTTACAAATGAAGGAGATAGAAGCTCAAAACCAAAATAACTCAAAATTTGAACTTTTCGTGTAGAGTCATAAAAAATCGGAAACTTGCAACAAAAATCGGAGCAGTCAGTATTGTAGGTTCTTTCACCAGCTCTTTCTAACGGTGCAAAGTTTGCGCTGATCGAGCATTGAAAAGTTATGATTTTCGAGCAAGCAGTACAAAAGGGCGTTCGATTTATTTTGGCATTTTTCAAGGAAATCATAACTTTTCACAG